TGAATCGTTTGTTCGTTCGTTGTGAAATATAGCGTTTGTTATAGCATGACTGTGGAAATCAAGTGTATTGCAAAGTTGTATTCAGAAAGAATAAACCAGTTTAATTTGTGAACGGACTTGTATCGCTAAAGTTTCTTCGGAAAGCATTTTTTTTATGGAAAATTAACAAACGACTAGAGACGTAGCAGTATTCTCACTCTGGTTCATTCAGTTGTCAAGCATTACTATAGTGTTGAAGTTTACATTCTGTAATGGCATGGAAGAATTAACCACTAAAATAGAATGAATGACAAAATATTCTCTTGTCCCAACACTTTTGTACAGTACTGTATAACTCCAGATCCCAGATGTTTGGTCTTTAATTTAAAAATGTAGTAACAGTTGATTGTTTCATACATGTATACTTTCAAAACGAACTTGGATTGTGACTTTATGTAGACATTGCATGATCTGTACTTTTCATTTTAAGAAACTTTCTGTTGATTTTTATCATTTCTTTATTACAGAACAATGCCATTTTTCTTACATCTAAGAATTTTGTTAAAGAACTAGAGATATTTAATCTTCTTTCATTTTTTCCAGGATTTTTTGATCTGTATAGAAATGTTCTTGGCATCCGTTGCACACTACTTTGCATTTTCCCATGTTCCCTTCATAGACTTAGCAGCTGAACAGGTGCCTTGTTGTATGTCTTTCATGTCTATGTGGGATGTATCAGATGTCACTCATGACGTATCAGAACATATTCGCCATGTCGGTAAGACACCACACTATAAACTTTTGTATATATATCTAGTGTTAGATGTCACCAACCATGTTTAATATCACACTTCCCATGTTGGTAAGACACACACACACACACACACTATAAACTTTTGTATATATCTAGTGTTAGATATCACCAACCATATTTAATAACACACTTCCCATCTTGGTATGACACACACTATAAACTTTTGTATATATCTAGTGTTAGATATCACCAACCATATTTAATAACACACTTCCCATGTT